TGCAATAGCAAGTAAATCTTCATTTAAATTCAAACTGAGGAATTCAATTAGCAAGAAAGCAAATCCCAAGCTTCTAGAGTGAATCCCTGTCTTTGAAAGTATTTAAATAATTTCTATTTCAGAAAAAGGCACATTTTAGGACACCGCTGTGTAACTGTGCTGGTTTAAAAGTAAACTGGCAGAAGAAATTAACCCAACTCAAGAGAGGGTTCTTGTCAGAGTTACAATTTTCTAAAAAAAGACTACAATAAATGCAATGATACAGAGAAAACTGGTTTTAACCCACAAAGACAGATGTATAACCCTGCACTCTGGGACAAGAACAGAATGGTGTTCGTCCACCTCTATGCAGAGCACCACGTGGTGCCAAGAACCTGTAGTCAGCACAGAGATGCAGCCTATTGACTCCCCAGCTCCAGCAGCTCCCTAAGGACAGGTTAGTTTTGTGGGACAGCTGCAGGAATGTCTGGGTATAACTCTGTGCTGGCACTATATCTACATTGCAGGCTTCTTCCCGTTTCGCTTTCTCCCCTGTGTGGTTTCTTTACAGGAAGGGACTGTCAGAAGCCATATCTGGCACCACGGTCTGACAGTGAGCAGGGCAATAGTTGAAAATGTTAGTGGTAGTTGCTAAGTATTAAGGTACTAAAACTGAGGGTAGGAATTGTGGAAAATATTCCAGTCATAATCTTAGTAATAAAAACCTTTCAAGGCTGGCGCTGCTCTGCAAGCACTTTCAAAAATTGTCCATTTTGGTTAAACTTTCAGTGCCAAGCAAATAGTTTAGGCTATTTAGTAATAATTTATATTAGTTTGTCATTTAAAAATAATTACTGCTTATTATTCAGAGGGAAAAGCCTCCTCTGTGCAGATAATTTTTCTCATTTCCCTGATGTACAGTTTGTGTTATAGGTATTAAAAGAGCTATGCCAGGACACAAGTTTAGAAGATGCAAGTCTCAAATCCAGTCAATCAGACCACTGAAATTCATAGTTCATTTTACTGGGATTTTTCTGGGATTTTTCTCTGCCCAATTCTCTGTGGAAAAGAGTCTGATTCTCAGGGAAGCTTTTTAAAAAAAAAAGAGAGACAAAGCTTACCAAGCACTGAAAAAGAGATGCATATGTGAACAAGTGTCAGAAAAACAGAACATGTTTTTTCACATTGTATCCTCTTTCACTCTACCATGCTTCATAGACCAACTTTAAGTCCCCAAGTACACAGTGAGTGGAACAGTAAATTTCTAGCTGTCCAAAAACCACTAGGAGATCAGATGTAAATCCCTGCAGCAGTTCTTTGCAACCCTGTGCTTGGGTGAGGAACAATGGCCACATTCTGCCTAACACACACCATGTGCTTCTCTATGTCCCAGGAGGAATTTGGCCTCAACAAAAACCCTCCTGCAGGTTCTGCGTGCAGTCACTTTGCACCACCTCACATCATCCTCAGTGTCACTTAGGGCAAAAAGTGCAAGGTTTTCCAGCAAGGAAACTGGGAGGGAATAGCACTGTTGTCTAAAAATACATCAGAGAAGAACAAACATCAGGGAGAGCAAAGCTATTTAAGCTAAAGGACAATGTTGGCATAAGAACAAAGGGGTCACACTGAGATGCACAGGATAGGTGGTTCTGGTGATGCTAGGATACCAAAATCTTAGTCAAATTTAAGAGAAAGCAACAGTAATCTTTACTCCCACATGCAGGCAATTTCTCCAGAATGCCATTGTTATTAACTAAAAGGGTGATGTAAAGCTTAGATAATAAACACCAGAAGTGTTTGTTTTCTTATTGAAACGGAAACTAACATAATAGAAGAAGTTTGGTCACTGGTGGTGCTTCTTTTTTCAGCTATAGGTAGATGTCTGAGTGTCCTTGCCCTTTTAAAAGGATTGTCTTCAGACACTCATGGTATGATTCGTGCATGAGGTCATTGTGACTATCCACAGCAGTGATAAATGAGACTTTCCCACTGAAAGAAAAACCATAAGTTTTATTATCCCTACTGAATAGTTTGATGAGAGAGGAGTTTAAAATGGACTAATCAAGTATCAAATGCTTTTTTTCCGTCATGGACTAAGAGAACGTTAGAAGAAACTTTGTACATGTTGTTGGTACGTGGCCATTGGTACACAGGCATTAGAATAGACCATAGAAATGCATATTTCTCTCTGATGCAACTCATTCAAAGCCAACAGATTTATGCCTGGAATCAATTCACTCCAAGACATCTAGGATGTTATGACAGTATTAATTTCACTGACCATCCAAATCTTAATGGGCTATTTGTTATAAATCACTTTGAAGGCATGGATAGCTCTGGAATTGTCATTAAGTCTGTCTTTACAGTCCATGCATGTAGGCCAATGTAATACCATATACTAATCAATAATTAATATCTTCATTACCATCAGAATTTAATAATAATCCATTTGTAATGGAACTAAAGCAAATAAAACAAGATTATGTAACACTGTGTATTGTAAAAGCACCCTGAAGTGGTACTAAAATACCATAAAACCTTGAGGCTTATGGGTGCCTTTACTTCCCAGAAAATTAATGCTCAGATCTTCAGGGGGAAAAAAAAAGAATTACAGTCATTGTGTAAGCCATGCAAAATGAGATGCACATTATTTTTAATATCAGCAAAAAGTACCTCTGTTTCATTGTCTCCCTGCTTCTCAGGTGTTCAAGTTCTCTTTATTCCCTGGCTAGCACTACTCATAACTACTGCACAACAGCATATTCAGGCAGGATACAAGAACTCTCATACTCAGTACAGTCATTGCTGACCCTTCCAGGCCAATTGGATAAATGTTACAGCAATGGCTACCAGGTACCTAAGAGTACTCAGAAAAGACCAGCCAGTGCAAGGTACTCAGGTGCTGCTGTGCTCTGAGTACTCTTCCATTTTTGTTTGGTAAGTTTGCACAAAAAAAAGCATATAATCCATGATTTTAAAACATAACATTTTAAAACACAGCATTTTAAAACACAGCCCAACTTCATTTAGCTTCAATGATGGTTAAGCAAAATTTGCAATTATAACATTCTAGTTATTTGTGTTGTGGTTTTGTACTCTAAGGTTTGTATCAAAGGGACCCAAGTTGAAGTTCTCTATAGAGGCTTATTTTCTTGCTCCATTTATCAAAATCAATGTAAAAACATCACTGAATTGTGGCATTAATAGCAAACATTTATTAAAAAAAAAAGGCAAAACAAAGAGAAATTGAAAAGAACAATAAATATCAAATAATTGGAAATGCTTACATTTTTAAAGGGTTTGGGGAAAAGAGGATAAGTCAGTTCCTGGAGTAGTGGGTCCCAGAAATGGCTGCCTCCATGTCACAGTCTGTAGAATATTTGCCTGTATCCCAGCTTCTCTGATACTTGCATACCTGTAATGTCATACACAGACTGTGGAGCAGAATGGCTGATGTACAAATACACAATGCACACATTTACTGACTCTGCTGTAGGCCTAACTTCAGTGCTGTTGTAGAATATATATGCAATGGACAGTGTGTAATACAATTAGATCTATATTGCATAATTATATACTATACATTCAACTGTATAACTGTGTGTATTATATGAATTTTTAAATATTTAGAGTATAAAATATGTAATATATCATAACAGCAAAGAAAAAATTATAAACCAATTGGAGCATTCAGAAGCTGGAAACTTTATCAAAATAGGAGGTTATTCAATATCTCCTTTTCACTCCTCAATTAAGAGAAGGTCTTAATATGGCCATTGTAATTTATTAAGTTAATAAGGCTGCAGGCCACATTTGGTCAGCATTATCCAAAACTTCCATGACAGGGGACAGATTTGTTAAATATTTTGTTTCAGCTTTTCTAACACTTCAGGGCCCTTGTCCTTTATAATATGAATTTATCTTCAAATGGTGTGCCCCAGGAGAGTAGAAGAGGGGGTTGCCATCCCTGGCAGCAGGTGGTGCAGCTGTCATGACAGCGACATGTGGCAGGCCAGGGGGAACAAGCAGCATCAGTTCTCAGGGCTCCGAGCCTGTAAGAAAAGATCAGGAAAATTTTCTTCAAGACACATTTTTAGATGAAGGCTAAATGTTTTAATAGAAAGGTGAGATTCTGTTCGATATAAATAAACCCCGAAAGATACCAAATCCCTCTCCAAAGGTGCCTAAACGCAAACTTTTCCTACTAAATGTTTCTTTGTCTCACTGACAGGAGTTGGACTTTGATGAACCTTGTGTGTCCCTTCCAACTCAGAAAATTTTTTGTGATCACAGAATCACAGAATGGGTCAGGTTGAAAGGGACCGCAGTGGGTCATCTGGTCCAATGTCCCCGCTCAAGCAGGGTCATCCTAGAGCACGCAGCACAGGATTGCATCCAGATGGTTCTGGAAAACCTCCAGTGAGGGAGATTCCACAACCTCTCTGGGCAACCTGTCCCAGTGCACAGTCATCCGCACTGTAAAGAAGTTCTCCCTCGTGTTCAGGTGGAACTTCCTGTCCATCGGTTTCTGCCCGTTGCCTCTTGTCCTATTGCTGGGCACCACTGAGAAGGGCCTGGCTCCCTCCTCCTGACAGGCACCCTTCAGATACTTATACACTTTTTGATTCTGTAAATAGAAAACTTGTGACAACTGGCTGGGAGAGTGACGGCTTAGCCGAGGATCGGGTGTAGGGCAACGACTCGGCTTGGCAAGGTGAGCGCCCGTGCGGTGCTGTGCCCACGGCGCTCCCCGCTCCCTCCGGCCGGGCGTGAGGGGGGCCAGTGCCTGAGCACCCGCGGGGACAGGACCGCGGGGAGGGCCGGGGTTGATTACTTAGTTAGTTGGTTAATTAGCCAGAAGTCGAGTTATTTCTGTCTGTACGACCCAGGGCGCTCCGCCGCGCCGGGGCTCCCGTCCGAGCGCGCTCCGCGGGGCCGTGCGGGCGGCGGGCCGGCAGGGGGCGCTGCAGGCGGGGCCCGCAGCCCGCTGGGCGGCGGGGCCGCTCCCGGCGCCGCATCATGTGGGCCCGGCCCCTTCCATGGAGCCGCGGCCGCCGAGCGCCGCCCGGGCGGACGCCGCCATGAGGCTCTGAGGGGCGGCTGCGTGCGGAGCGCCCGGCCGGTCCCAGCGCTGCCGAGCTCCCCGAGCCTCGCCGCGGGGCAGAGAAGCCCAACGCTGAGGCCGCCGCCGCTGCTGCTGCCGCCGCCGCGGGTCCGGCCGGGCGGGAGGGCGGCCCGGGGCCATGTAAAGCGGCAGCGGCCGGGGGGAGCCGAGCCGAGCTCGGGCAGAGGAGCCGCCGCCGCCGCCGGCCGGGAAGGCCTCGCGGGGGGGATCATGGCGACGTCTAATCTCCTAAAGGTGAGAGCGGGGCCCGGCCGGGCCCTGCGGGAGGGCGGGAGGCGGCGGGGTCGGGCGGCCCTGCGGGTGGCGGGGGCGGCCGGGCCGGGCAGGGCGGCGGCGACCGGGGCAGGGCAGAGCCGGGGTCGAGTCGCGGTGCCGCTGCCCGGAGTTGCCGCTGCCTGGGCCCTCCCGCAGGTGAGCGGCCTTGGGGCTGCCGGCCTCGGCCCGGCCCGGCCCCGCCGGCGGCTGCGGCTGCTGCCAGCACCCTGCTCCCTCCCCCCGGCTCTCCCTTCCCAAACACGCCTCGTTGGGAAACAGCGTTGCGTCGTGCAGTTAGACAGGGCACGGCGTCTTCCCTTTGTTTATTTAAGAAGACTCGGGTATATGGAAAATGTTTAAGTTGAACAAAAGAGTTGGAAAATGCCTTCGCTGTGGGCAGGTGTCGTTATTGGGGTGGCCACCGTGTTCCAGCTTTTTTGTTAACAGCAGTTTTCCTGCAAAGGAAAACTCCCGGAGGCCTTTCGCTTACGTTAAGTAGCTTTGCTTTTGTAGTCAGATGTTTTCAGGCACTTTCCCGGCGTTCGATGGCAGATGTCAGTCACCCCAAGCTGCTGCAGGTTGGAACGGAAGATTTCGGTAGGACAGTCGAGTGTTTGAGCTCAGGACTGCCTGTCCTGATATTTGCGGTATGTATGAGGAGAAGACTGCATGGCCTTTGAGGCCATGCCAGCACAGGGAAGACAGGCCTACTTGAAACAACTATTACTTGTGCCTCCAGTGTTTCTACAGCACCAGTTAACTCCACTGGTGTGAAAGGCCTTGGGAAGACTATCTGCTGAACTCGAGGAGTAAGCAACTGAAAACACGTATAAATATAGGCATAATCATGTGTTCCGCACTATATATTGTTTTTAAAGATGGTCCCGAAGAAGTGCTGTTTGCATTTGAGCAATCTGACCTCGTTTGGATGTATAGATTTGGCCTGAATCTGCTGGTTGTATTTATTATTCTGAGACATTGAGTGTGAAGAAATGAGAAATAATTGATCACCTTGTTTCTTCCTGGTATCCAAAAAAATGCTTCAGTATTAAAAAGATATATTTTTAAAAAGTCTTCCTTGAAATTGAGATGTAATTGAAATTAATTTTGATTAATTTCTGTATATTTTTATGCCTAAAAGGGGTTACATATCTAAGCAGATAATACTTAAAAATACTTTAAAATTTAAAATTGAGAAATCCAAAGACAGTGGTGAAAAAAAGAATGTCCTATAAGAAGAAGTGCCCTTTTTTTGGAAAAGCATGTGTTTAGAGCAAGGCTTGTTAATATTTTAGACCATCTCTTTACTGTACATCTGAGGTTTTCTGGAAAGACTGATGTGTGCGTTGATGAGATGTGGTCATATAGCCCATAGTAGAGAGAAGAAGCATAGGCTTATGAGTTTTGTCAGCATTCCACTTCAGCTATTTTGAAAGAGTGGTAAGTGAAAATAGAGTCAAAGGCCTTGATTCTGCGAGATGACTCTTGCCAAAGTGAAGTCTTTATGTTGACTAGTCATGTTTTTGCAACTGGCCTTTGTATCACCAGTATTTTATGTTGACAACAAGATATATATACGCAGTGTGTTTTAGGAAAAATGCTGCAGAGATACCTATTCTAAACCAGGCCTTTTTTGTCACTCAAAGTGTTATTAAGCACAATAACTTACTAATTAGTGAGTTTTCTAATGACAATATTAAGTACGATTCCTGCATTACGGAAGGAAAAATTATATGGTGATTTGGCTTTGTTTATCATGGCAAAATAAACCAGTGCAAGAACTGGAACTAGGTAAGATCTTTTGTTCCGAAATCCCACTCATGAGAGTGCTCTCTGAGAAGCAAACTGTTGATTCCAGGTTGGTGTTGATTGGCAGTGCCTTGTGCCTTGTGCAACTTCTTTCTCTGCTTCTGCTTTCATGTTTAATGGGAAAAAAGCGATATCTGGGCACAGCAAATCCCAGGGTAAGAAAGGAGAGGTGTTAAAATCTGTGCGGTTTTTCCATAGCTTTTCCAAATAAGCCTGCATAAATTGGGTATAGAGGGGTCTTGGTTTTGCCAGCATGAACAGGAACTAAGCATTTTCTCTTCTTTTCCCCCATCCTCATTCAGCTTTCTGCGTAGTTGAGAAAATGAAGTGAAATATTCTTTTCTTATTCTTAGTAATAAATACTAGCTGAATCCAAATCTGACTGGCTGTCGTAATTTTAAAGGGCATCATTTAAACTCCACTAGTGCATAGTTTTCCTAATTGTTATTTCTTTTCTTTTGTGAGAGCCTTCTTTAAATGCAAAATTAGAATGACCAGTCACATGCTAAATCCTGGAAATATTGAAGTACTTAGTAAGAGCCATTACATGGTCGGGGTGCCTGCCCTACCTGTAGCAAAGCCGCTCTCCCTTGTTGAGGAGGTGGCTTGCTTTCAGTAGATGGCTGAGCCATTTCTAGGAGAGTCCCCTAGAGGTTTTTGTCTAAACATACATGTGACTGTGACACTTTCAAAGTGGGATACCTCATTTCAGGGCGTGTGCCAGACTTGTAGTTTGTTCCCTTTGCAATGATAAAGTCTAAACCAATCCACCCATGTGACATGAAGACATTTGAGTTTTTCTGCAGTTTCTGGAACAGAAAGTATCCCCACTTATTGCAGCATAAAGAAAACCTGTAGCTGTATCCATGCTGGCAGATCTGCCAGCAAATGCAGGAGTCTGTCCTTGCAAGATGAACTGCAGCGTGAGCCTGATGTTAGGAGAGAAGCAGCAAAGGAAGCAACAAATTTTCCATGGACTTAAAATGAGAAACGTTATTTACCTTTGCATCAGTTTCAGCTGTCAATGACAACTAGAAACACATCTGAAATTTTTGAATTCTTCAACTTGAAGTACGTGTTTCCAGCTCTGTATTTGAAGTTTTTCTGTTTCTTCTTGGCTATTTCCATTTAGGATATCCTTAAGAAGCATGGGAATGTTGCATGCTAGTTAGTTACATAGAAAAACTTTCCCTGTGGCTACTTTCCTGCTTTGAATAGGAACTTGTTACAATCATTACACTGATTTTTAGAGCTGCTGGTAGCAGAGATTAATCAGACAGTGTTTATTCCAATCTATGATGTCATATTTCCCACTTCATCCCTCTGTGAACTAGCTTTAATATACCTGCTGTCTGAAAACAATGAAGTAGTAAAGGCAGTGATGTTACTCATATGTAGATAAGATGTACAGTAAGACCTAGAGGGTGTTGCTTTTTTTACAGTACTGTCCAGAGCATCTGGTAGAGATGAGGGCTGAATTTCTATGTGTCCTGAAATATAGAGAGTACACAGCAAAGAGAGCTGAACATCCAAATAGACATTTCGAGGGTAAGAGGGACGGTAACATGGAGGTCTTGGGGTATTGCTTTGCCTTGTTATGTCTATTATGTCTAAGTGCTTATCCATAAAAGTAAAGAACAGGGAAAAGTACGTTTGAAGAGTAAAGTTGGAGGACATATTTCAATATAGGGTGTAAAGTAGTATGTTCTTCAAGTAAAATTTAGTGTTAAAATGGAACTTTAAATCTGTATGAACAAATTAATTGAAATGACTTTTGAGACAAATTATTTTATAAGTGAAGTTATTTTTCAAAGCTTTAAATTTTAAACTCTAGAATGGCTACTTAGCCAGGGTCAGGCTCTCAATTGTAACCCATGTTTTCAGAGAAGATTTGATAACTGGAGTAATTTTATCTCGTCCAAGGTATTATGCCTTACCACCCTGCTTACATTTCCATGGGAACTGTGATTTGAGGCAAGCTAAGAAGGAAAAACTGCCCAGGAAATACTGCTCAGAAATTGCATGTGTGACTTTGGTATCAACTAAGAATTACCACTGTTTGACCTTCTCTTCTACTGTAAAATTTGTGTTTTCTTGTAAGGGTAGAATTAATGAATGTGAAGGACACACCGTAGGTGGTATTTAATGCTCCCTTCCCTTCTTGTAATTTCAGTACAAAAGTGTCAGGTCATGGAAGCATGAATCTACCTAGATGATGTTGGTTTGTTGAACTTAGAGTAGTTTCATTGGGATTTTTCATCCATTGATTGTATTTCCTCTTCTGTTAGTTAAGGAATAAAGGAGGAAATGTGGAAAAAATGTACTCCTATGTATAGGAAACAAAGTTCTAAACTTCTCTGACATTTCAGGACAAGCTTTGTTCGAGGAATTCCTTTTAAGTAAACAGATGTTTATTTCCAGTGGATACACAATTTTTACAACTGAAGTTGAGTTTTATGTGTGTTTCTTAGAATGAAGTAGGTATTCACAGTTTAAATCATATAAACAGTTGTGTTTGCAATCTCCCTCCCCCCATGTTTTACAATGAAATTAATTTTATTCACAAAGATGGAGCATTCAGGTTTTATCTTTAGCTGTTTTCAGTGAAGGGTTGAATTACACTTCTCAAAAATTACAGATTTTTTTTTACTTCTTCTGGAAAACTTTCAGGATCTACTCTGAAGTTTTACGCCAAAGGAAAACTTATGAGGACGTTGTTTTTACGTACTTTATAATACCCTTTCTGTAACTTCTAACTGTTCAGTAGCTGGTTTTTCAAGTTCATTATCCTGCAAAGAGGGACTTGGAACAGAAGTATCTGCAAGTAAAACCTAATAATTTTCACAGGACTGGGAAAGATTAGAGCAACACATCAAAGTTAAGGGAATAATTGTAAAGCTAGCTCTATGTGGGGGAAGCATGTAGTTGATGATTTTCAAATGACCTTTTTTTCTTATAGTGGGAAAGAATAGGCAAAACTATCTCTCTGAATGTGAAAGCAATTTATTTTTCTATTTTTTATGTTGAAAGATTTACAGACTTTATCAACAGGGGCTGCTTCCATGAAAGCCATATTCAGTACCTACCACAGTAGTTTGATAATGCTGTGAGGCCTCCAGGTGCTGTTACTTTAAAAATAGTTACTGTGGTGCCTGTTGCATCTTTATAGCTTCAAGATGTATCTTTGCACTTAAGAGCACCAGGGGATACAGTTACCAAGCTGTGCTTATTCTGAATACAAAATAACGGTTTTAATTGTAAATTTCCATGTAGAAATTAATCAAAAGGCGATGGTTGAGGGAACGTGGTGTGCTGCTTGTGCTTGTTTATCTGAAGAGATGTTAGTGACAGAACAGTGCACTTGTCAGAATTTCAAGTAGTCAGACTGTATTATTTGCTGTATTTGAAGTGAATTGTGTCAAGTGTAGTATCGCTGACCAAGACAATGATCTGTTCAAAAGTAAACAGTGCATTGGAACATAACACTTCAGATAATCTGTAGTCTTTCTGCCACAGAACTCCCAATCAACATAGCTTTTTAATTGCAGGTTTTTCTTTTTAAAATGTGGAGCCGTAAGCAAACAGGATAACAACATATGCAGTAGAACCGCTGTTTTTATCGCAAAGTTGTTGTGGTTTTGGTGGGGTTTTTTTAATAATAGAAGTTAGTCTGTATACTATGGTGAGATTTTTCAGAATAATCAGAATTATATGGAAGCACTTAATTTCTTTAGCTTGCCTCTTAGTTTTTATTGTAAGTTTGAAAAATCCACCTTGGATTAGACTTTTCAGCGTGGTGTAAATAATTTTTATCTGCACCAGCTGTACTCTTGGCCCTCAGAATGCCTATGGCCAGTTAACCCGCAGGAAGGGAGTCTGTCATACAGTAGCTCCTATGTTACTCTGTTTCCTTCCTCCCTCTTTGCTGCTGATGCCAAATACACGGTGAGAGAAAAAGGGTACATGGCAGCATCCACAGGTACAGTTCCTGATTCCTGGCTGCCATTTTGATCAGAGTAATTTATTCAAGATGGGTTTGCAACTGTGCCTTGTGACTTTTATTGCATCTATCTTTGCCGCGACAGAGAAGCTGACCCAAGTATCATTCGTGTTGTCTGTGTATAACTCCATTTACATCTGAAGAACACTTGCTAGAACTTGTTTCTTGTAGCTAATGCAGTGAATAAATGAAGAAGTTGGCAGTCTGTTTCTCTTTGAAACAAATAATAGCTCTCACTTTTTAAAGTAATACTCTGAAAAGCGTTGTTCAGCTGTGGTGGTGTAGCTCAGATGCTAGCTTAGGAGGGACACCTCTGAGAAGAAAATATTTTTTTGTTAACTGCAGAAACTGCAATCCTTCAAGATAACTTTAAATAAGAAGCTGGTTTATTAACAATATTTTTTTTGTTCCTTTTAGAATAAAGGTTCACTTCAGTTTGAAGACAAATGGGATTTCATGCGCCCTATCGTTCTGAAACTTCTTCGTCAGGAGTCTGTCACAAAACAGCAGTGGTTTGATCTGTTTTCGTAAGTAATTTTTTAATATCTTACATCCTTCTACATAATGGGAATACATGTACCACTCCTGATAGAGAAGTCACATATGACATAGACTGTGTGGAAAAACAGAACAAAAGTACTATTTGAGTTTTATTAAGTGATAAATCTGCCTACATTGCTGTAAATGCTCAAAAGTAGAGTTTTGCTGAGATTCAGGTCTTTGCAAATAGGATGGTGAAAGAACAGCAGTTCTTTTTGACTTCAGCTGACCACAGTAAGTAAGTTTTGTACCTGCCCACAAACTTATTCTTAGAATTAGAGAGAAAATGTTTACTGCTTTGTCAGTAAGTTCATTAAAGGCAGTTTGCTGAATGTTACATTATTCTGATTTGAATGGCTTTCTTCTAAAATAACTGAAGACTGCTACTGAAGTAGCTGGATGGTGCAGTTTGACTGGTATTATTTGAATAGTTTTGTACCCTAAGAATGATATAATAATACTTTTCAGACAATGTTTGCATTAATGTACTTTCTGAAAACCCTGCCATTTTCTTCCTTTCAAAAAGCCAGAAGTGGCTTCCTGTTAGGTGATGATTTTTTTGGTAAAAATCATCATTTGATTTTTGCCAACGTAATATGGAAGTGATTTACAAAAGATATATTGGAAGTATATCTAAAATAATCTTTGTCTCAGTGGAGTTATTTTCCCTTAAATACAGTTGTAGTTTAAACCTGTAGACTCTCCTGCTTTTAAAATTGTCACAAAAGTAGTTTTTATTTAAATGCAGTCTTGTTGCAGTCTGTGTCTGTATCCTCTTTTTGATGAGGATGGTGTAGTGGCTCTTTTTACACCCATCTTACTGCATCTCTCACGCTTTTCTGCCAACCAAAAGGAACAGTAATTTATCATGTAATGGTTGTTAATCTCTTAGGATGTGTCTGCTATAGTAGTTGCCAGAAACATGGTATAGTTAAGGTAAAAATTCAGTTCTGAGTCATTGCTTTAATGATTAATAACTAGTTCAATAATTCTGCATTGAGATTGAAACTTTCTGTTTATTATTTTTCTTGTAGCTGAATTATTGAATAGAACTTTATTACCTTTATGGTAATAAAGGCTTTATGGTAAAATAAGGCTTTTGAGGAAAAGGAACCCACTGTCCTAGGTTCATATTTTTGGACAGTGCTTTGTTAAGCTTCTTAATAAAAATTCAAAATCTGTATGTGTCTTCTAGTTGCCCTTTGAGTATAATTATCCAGTATTGCTTTTTTCACTGCTCTTAGGAAACAGTGGCATTCTGAATGCAGTAACACGTTTTCTGCACATGAACATTGTGGAAGTCTCACCTGTTAGGTAGAGCTCTATAAATCCTAGGCCTGCACCTTTGATCAGTGTCAAAGGAACTTTTTGCCTTGCAAGTTTTGTCTTTTCAGTTAAACTAAAAAAGCTGCTTTTCTGTTGAAATAAGTGTATTCATTTAATAGGAACAAAGTAATAACTTTAGATTATATGGTTGCTTTTCTGCAAAGATGTGGCCTTATTAATGAAAGGCAGAAGAACCAGAGGATGGTAATGAATCAAAAAAAGGCTTCCTAGGCCATGTTGTATATGATGTATGGTTAGGAGTGTAACTTGCTTTATTTAGTCTTCATTATGGAATGAGTAGGAATTAAGTTCCACTTGCTGGGCTGTCAGGTAGGAAAAATCATACTTGAGTGTTGATTAGAACTCAGTAATAGAATTTGGCTTTGTGATTCTGTTTGGTAGCTTTTAAAATACTACCACTGCCATGAAATGTTTAAGTGATCTTATTAAACTAATTAAATCGTCTTTTAAATTACCTGATCCCTCAGAGTTCAAGTTTCTCATGAAGAAGGTCTGTTTCCTTTGTAGCACAAGGATGTCTCAGTGTTTGGATTGTGAAACTGTCAGTGAAGGCTGCATGTTAATGAGAGTATTTTAGAATAGCATGGGCTGAGTAGTAATACTGCTACTGGCAAGTGATTTCTATCTTTGTCAAAGAAAAGGTTTAAAAATTGTCCTTAATTCAGTAAGGATTATTGAATAGGTACTGAAAATAGAATTGTCTTGTATATCTCCTTCTTGACCACAGCCTTTCTCCTCGATAGGTTGCAGTTACTTGCTTCCAGGACTTTTCTTAAAAGCCTCAGTCTCTTCCCCACACGTTTTCTTGCATGTGTCACTGGGATCTAACTGTGTGTTGTTTGACAAAGATAGATAACAAGTGTATTAATTTCTTAGACATACTGAAATTATGACTGTTTAAGCCTCATACATTACAACATTAAAATTTGAGTAGCTGTTACTAAAAGGTGGATAAATTGTTTTCTAGAGATGTACATGCAGTTTGCTTATGGGATGATAAAGGTCCAGCAAAAATCCACCAGGCTCTGAAGGAAGACATCCTTGATTTTATTAAACAGGCACAAGCAGTAAGTTCCTAAGGTTCCATAACTTCTATTCATATTGTTAGAAAATAACCATATAATTCTGACTTTCATTGGATTTAAATGCATTGGTTTTTTGTTTGAAATTTTGTGATTTTCTGGAGATCACAATTACCCTGCAAACTTCTATTGACAAAAAGAAGACTTGGCCTTGAGCATTTGCCTTGGTTCATTGTTTTCTCACAGTGCTTGAATCTGGAGTGGGCAGTGGTTTTTGTGTTATATTAAAAAAACCTATAACAAGCATTATCTTTGTTTATCTGACAGTACTTATGGAATCTTCTTCCACTTGAAAACTACTTAAGGCAGAATTTTCCATAAGAAATTCCTCAGAAAAAAAAAATTGCTTATGTAGCTTCAGTGCTGTGCTGACATGTTCATGGATGGCTTTAAAATAAGCCATATGTATGGCCTACCACAAATATCTGTGCTATCGACTCAGCAAGCTTAACTGTCCAGTTTTATAGGCTTCCCTCAAGACAACTGAGTTTGTCAATAGATTCAAAGGAAATTCTTTTGTTTGTAAAACATGTAGCAAAAGATGTTGTCTGTAATAAGGGATTTAAAAGAGGGGGTTGTTGTAATATTTTTAAAAAATATTAAAAAATCACGACAAATGTCTGTAAAGGAAAAAAATTAAAGTCTTTCTTTAGTGAAGTGATTTACACCATTAAGGCTTTGCTTAAAGGAAAATAGTTTCTTATAGAGGCATTTGTGTAACCTGGCATATAAATGTTGACTTTTTAAGTTCCACAGCTTACTTGCTTACAGCATGCATAAATGCTATGCTGAACTGAGGCCTTTGATATGGTCTGTGTTGGCTTTTATTTGAGAGGCAGGGTTTTAGGCATTTTGATAGCCATTGTACAGTGTAGCTGTAGTTTCCAGACTTTATTAAAATATACATGTTAACTGGCTGTCTGGGTCTAATGAAAGGCTAGTAGGTGCCATTGAATCAAAACTTTTCACTGCATAGAATATAACATAGTCCTTACAGGTTTATGTTAAGGTTTTTATATATATGGTTGTGCCAGTACATGCCAAAAGTTTTAATATTTTTGACTTGCAGATGGCTTAGAAGGAGAAAAAAAGAAAAGGTTAATTTGGAGAATTTGAACTTGCTGACTACCTGTTTGCTGCTATCTTTCTTTACCCTTTAGAAATGACCCATGTGCCATGGGTTAATAACTACTTCAGCAAGCTAAATGGCACTTAAATATGCAGACTTTCTTATTCTGATATATCTGTACATTTGAATTTTATATGGAGAGTTATTTTCAGTATAAGCAAAGTCAGCCCATATTTTGTGCATAAATTTGTTTATAAATTACCTCCTCTTCTCCCCCATCCCTCCAGAGAGTGCTGAGTCATCAAGATGATACAGCTTTACTGAAGGCATATATAGTGGAGTGGCGCAAGTTCTTCACGCAGTGTGATATTTTGCCCAAGCCATTTTGTCAACTAGAGATTACTTTAATGGGCAAGCAGGGCAGCAACAAAAAGTCTAATGTAGAAGACAGTATTGTCCGAAAGGTAAGTGATCAGTACTAAAAGCTTTGTTGCACTGTTTGCCTACAGTAAACAGGGGAAGGGACTCTGTAGCTGAAAATGAAACCGCATCACACATGTCACATGACGTATCGCTTTGCTTCGGCGTGAGAGTCAGAGTAACCCTGCAACTTTTTTTTTTCCTCTCCACAGTAGTTTCACTTTGTTTCTCCAGTTCAGCTTTGGCATTAACAGTATTTTTCATGTGATTAAAGCACTTCTCGTTTGGGCTTTGGGTTTGTCTGGACTTTGGTGGAGGTTTTTTGAGGGGTTTGGTTTACTTTGTGTGGGTTTGGGGTTTTTTTTAATTATGACCTGAATCCTGGAATGGCAAGTAGTTGTAAATTCAACTACTTTTTGTGTATTTATGAGTAGCAAGTGTATTTGTATACAGAAGTGAGTAGTTTTTCTGCTCCTTGTTTATATCCCTAGGCCAAAATGGTAACTGGGACATATCTCTGCATTTTTTAAATGACTGATTAAATTCTGTAAACTTAAGTTAAATATGGCTGTTGATATCTCAATTTCCCCTTTTTTTTCCAAACTGTCAGTCATATCAATGAAAAGATTAGACATGTAGAATCTTGTAGATATGATCTTTTTACTGGTTCATATTAAACATAAGAAAGTCTAGTGCTTTGAGTATGGAGTGCTCAGTGTTCTGAGTCCCATGAATAGTGGTCCTGGAAATTGCTTTAGTCTTTTATTATAAGGAAAATGAAACATATCAGTTGTAAAGTGTTATGTATTTTAGTTTAACATCTTTCATTATTCCTTTTCATTGCAGAAAGTATCTGTAGGGAAATGAAATTTCTTTATCGATCTTTAGCTTGGTATTGAAGATCATTTTAACTGTTCCCCTATCTCCAGGATGGGAAGAGCAAAATAGTTTGAATGGCTTACTTTGGGCAAGGTTTTTTTAATTTGCCCTTCTGTTTTGACATCTTGTCCTCTTTACCTCTTGAAGAAAAGGAAGAGGAAACAGCAGCAAAGAGAGGAATCACCATTTCACACTACCTTTTTAGTTTTCATTGTTTGCTGGAGAAAGCATGTGATCTTATTAGGCTCACCAAGATCTGGAAAACTTGAACTCTTAACTCTGCTTTATGCAGAAGGCAGGAAAACTAAGAAATTAAAGAAAAGATAATGTCAAGTGGACAAAGTAGTGAGGAGAATCTGGGAGAAAGAACTGGTTTCTAACAGTTCAGATTTTGGTCAAGACTGAAGCTGATGGAGTTGTCTCTCATATGTAGTCCAGCGAGGACCAGCTCATCACTGGGACGTTAAAGCCCAGAGTCTCCAACCTATCTCATTATTTTGTATTCACTGCTGAAGGTCACTTTCTGTTTCTGGCATCATTCTCTGTAGTTTTCTAAAAAGTGCTTTGTGGAAACTTTTCCCATGCTTGAGTAGTTCTTCATACAGTCACCCAAAATGATACGTATTTTCTTTCAAATATCTGTGTAAAACTTCCCTATCCATAATGTCTAGAAGCAGTCTGACCATGACAAAGTCATTAATGTCCCTGCCAGGTTGCTTGAGATTATCTCACTGTTTTCTTCTCCATTTTTTACTCACTTCAGCTCTTGTAGACTAGTTCTCTAATTGCACAGTGCAATATAATGTTTGTATCAATAAAGTTCAAGTAATGAGAAAGGTCATGGAGGAAGCATAATTCAATAAAGCTTTGCTTCTAAGAATGCTGCAATGTTGTAAACATTCTCTTCCCACACGAATTACTTCAGTTGTAGAAATGGAAATTTAGTGGAAATTGAGAGACAGTTATGGAGAAGTTAAGAATAAACTATGGTAAACTTAACTCTCTTGAAAGGATATCCAACTTTTCTTAGGTGCTTGCTGTATTAAAATCTAAAATTTACAAAGCAAGAATGGAATAAGATCATCTAATCTTTACTACTAGCTTCACCATACAATGATGTCAAGTCATCATAGGTTATTTTTTAGCAATCATAGGTAATGATTGAATGAGGTAAAGTTTGAATTCATAAATTTTATGATTCCAACCTGCTTTCCACTACCAGTGTAGACTGAATATTATTGTGCTTAAATTCCATTATTAGCAGTTACTGTCAAGTTTGTAGGTAGTGTAAGTTTGAGCTTTTTTCTAAAGCAATGAAATGGCCTGAGTTGGATAGAAAAACTTACGTTATCTTTAAAGCTTTGGCATAATTTCATTAGGTATTCAGTGACATATAGATAGAGCCAGATCCAGTGACTTGAGGTTCAAAGCAAATTAAGATTTTTAGCAAACACATAGAATGCTTCAAGTATTTACTACTGAAGAGCTAATAGGGCTTAGGTGGGCACAAGTATGGTGGTCAAGTGTAATGCAATGCATTTGCAGCAGCATCAATAGCAATCACCAAAAATTAATAAATCACACAATGGAATAAAAAGGGACCCATTGAGTGATGAGGATTTTGACAGGAGCCTGCATAACTAATTTTAAGACTTTGCACTGTTTAAATGAGATTTGGAGTTTTTTATAATTTACATATGCATCACTTGCATACTGAACTTTCTTGTTAGATAAATGCAATCAAAAACCATCAGTCTTTTTCTTTACATAAGAAAATTAAGAAAAAGCCTGCCAAATAGTGAACTGTATTTGGATATTTGGCTCAGAAGTACCCCCTGATACTGCAAGTCTGACACATTGCATTGCTGGAAAAGTTACCTGACTAATTACCATGAACTGTAGAAATAATACAGAATTATGGAATTAATATATGCATTAAAGACTGATTTCCCCTAGCTGTCCAGTTATATAAAGTAAGCTTAGAAGGTAAGCTGAATATTCCTTCTATAACAAGTTCAGAGAAAGACAAAATTCTGCTGTAGCTGAACTGCTGTATGAACCTGGAAATTACATTAAAAATTGCTCGATTTGTGTTTCTGATGTCTTGCATGTCTTTTGCACAAACTTAGGTCTGCGTGTACCTTTCTGACAGGATTTCTTTTTTCCTTCCTAATACACAGCTCATGCTAGATACGTGGAATGAATCCATATTTTCCAATATAAAAAATAGGCTTCAGGACAGTGCAATGAAGCTAGTTCATGCGGAAAGACTAGGAGAAGCTTTCGACTCTCAGCTCGTTATTGGAGTTCGAGAATCATATGGTATGTCTTGCACAGGCCAATTTGTTGCCCCTTCATTTTAGTAAATTAATTTTCTTCATACAAAGGTGGCAGTTGTGGTAGGGTTGAAACTATTATCTCAGCATTTGGTATTGATTTTTTTGTTGTTCTTGCTGATACATGATATCAGTTAAATTCTGCATATAATCTTTAGCTTCTAAGTGATTTACCTGTGTATCAGTTACTGCAAAATCCATGTTTACGAAGAGAAGACTTTTCAATGTTATAGGGTTGCAGATATAACTTTGTCTGTACTCCTTTACATGCTGTTTCTGGTTCTTCAGACGGTTTGAAGAAGAAATGTTAAACAGGCTGCATTTAAGACTTTCAGTCATTTTGTTGCAGAACAGATCTGTATATCTGAAACCTCTATGACATTTCACCATTGTCTGCTGTTTTGCAGCCTGTTGTATGAAACTTTTGGCTTCTCTCGGATGGCTTTATGGATGTCCAATCCTAAACTTTTTTAAAGCATATCCTGTTTAGTGACTATTTATTTCCAACTAACGCAAAGCACTCCAGTAAGCTCACTGTCTCCATTCTTGTAAAACAGGAAAAAAAGAAAATGAAGACATTGTTATTGTAATAACAGTGTCTAAGAGAAGCTTTTTGTTTAGTCAGGTGGAGAACTTCTCACTTTATTAGACATTATACTGATCTTTTTTCTTCTTCCTTAAAATTTTCTATTTATATGTGTATTTATGATTACCGTGTTTGAATGTCTGAAGTGCTGGAGCTAAGTATGCAGTTTTTTCTAGTTCTCTATAGTTAATTAGATTGTTTTTTGGAGGAAAGACTGAACAAATTTGGTGTCCTTTTGTGATCAGAGTGCATTTATCAGATATTTCAAATTGTTCAATGCAGCCTTTTGATACAAGACTCACTCTCTCATTGAGATTTGCTTAATATTAGCCACATAAGTTTCCAAGACTTGAGAGTAAGTTTGGACTTTCTCTTTGCAGTTAATCTTTGTTCTAATCCTGAAGATAAACTTCAGATATATCGGGATAACTTTGAAAAGGCGTATTTGGATTCAACAGAGAGATTTTATAGAACACAGGCTCCTTCTTATTTACAACAAAATGGTGTACAGAATTATATGAAATATGTAAGTAAAAATTCTGTTGGAATTTTGTTCTGAAAGTGTTAGTGCTTAAAATGATTGCTGTTATACTTTTGCACAGGCAGATGCTAAACTAAAAGAAGAGGAGAAAAGAGCACTACGATATTTAGAAACAAGACGTGAATGTAACTCTGTAGAAGCAGTGAGTATAATATGTAGAAAAATTACATATTTATATAGTATTATTATATTGCAGTTTTTATTTTTCTGTTACAGTATTATTTGGTAGCACTAAATTGAAACAATTTGGTTTATGGTTTTTAATTTACATGGGTTTTATGGTAATTAATTTGCAACAAGATGTATTACTTTCCAGTGGTAATCTACCATTTCTGCAGGTGTTTTAATATTACATGTAGAACAAAAGTTCACACTGAAGGGCAGGTTTTTATTCAGATTGGTTTTTATTCTTTTGAGTCGGGTATGGTTGGTTTTTTTCCTGTGTTTGAAAATAAGCTGACCAATCTGTTTGGCAAAGGGTTTCTCAGTGCTTGTTTAGAATACCTGAAAGAGTTATTGTTCATTGCAAACAAAAGGAGCTATAGAAATTTCATTAAAACTGTAATAGATTTCCTCTTAGGCTGAAATATGGCCATTTAATATAAAGGGTGTTTTTCTTTTTTTCCTTCCCCTTCTTCCCTCTTGAGCAGTATTTTACACAGCTCAGATTCTGGAAGAAGATTTAACTGTAATGAATAGTTCATGATTGTCTGTGTTGAAATTAGTTCAGGAAACAGGTTATTTTAAATAAATACCTTTTAAATCTGATTTTTTTTTTTTGCAGTAGATCAAAATGTGCTTTATGCCTTTTGTTAAGCTGTGAATCATTCATTCTGCACAGCTATAAATTGTAACCCATATAAAGAGACTGACAAAAGAGAGATGGTCCTGACATGTATATACAGTTTCTGTTCTAGATCTAGTACCTTATTCAAGCCATCCAGCCTGGTCCAAATAGGGTATGCTGGAATGAGAACTATTCTTAGCTCTTGGATGTATACTTGGAAATGAAGTAGGGTAGTTAGTGTTCCAAAAGTGATGGCTCCCTTGAGACGAAAGAGTTGACAGAAATACTAAGCTTATTAATGGTTTGGAGGAGACTTTACCACATTTATCAACCTAAGCATTTTGAGGAAGTATGGTTCCTGTATAGATTGTATTCAAACTACACATACTTTTCATGAATCAGTCAATGAATTCGTTATTTTATAGAGCTAGTTGTTGAGAACAGGCTAGATCCTGTGTCATGGCAAACTTGAGACACGTCAGACTTTGGCGTTCAGATGGCTACATGAGCTAATTCTGTGTTTAATGTATTTCAGCTAATGGAGTGCTGCGTCAATGCCCTGGTGACATCTTTTAAAGAGACTATTTTAGCTGAATGCCAAGGCATGATCAAACGAAATGAAACAGAAAGTAAGTGAAGCTTCAAGAACAGTGCAGGATGAACCCAGCATCTACTGCATAAAAATAGATTTGTGTGTAGATATATCAAATTACAGTTTTTAATAGATGGTGGCAGTCTTTCATAGAAAAGTACTACTGCTCATGAACAGTTTTATCCCACAAAAAACTACCGTCATTGGCTCGTATTTTTTTTCTATCACTTTTAAAATCTGTATGTACAATAACCTAATTTGAATGAGTGGATAGCTCTCATCTTACTTGAAAAAGAAACAGAATATTTTGTGTTCTATTTTCTTTATTTTTTCCTACATTTACTTTCATCGTGTTGACCAGCTCTGGTAAATGCTACGAATGTCTTTACCTTCTATTTGAATACTTCAGATACAAACACTTCCCCTTCATTTCTACCCCTCTGCCTGTTTACACCTGGAAAAAAAGTGAAGCATCTCTTTACAAAGCTCTTTTTCTGAAAGGCAGGGAGAAATTTTTCTTCTTCTGATATTGGTGCTGGACCGTAGGTCAAATGAACCAAATCTCTGCAAGCTGTTCATGTGGTTGTATAGCCAGTGTCAGTGTGAGTATTGAAAGTTAGCTCTGTATGCCTTTTTAAAGTTTTCAGAAGTTTTTTTTTTTAACTCTGCTGCCAGAAATTGAGAGGCTAGTGTGATTCAGAAGTCTTGTGTTGGGCCTGTATGATAAAACAAACCAGATATGTCATTAAAATGTCATAATTCAAGTAGGGAAATTGAAAAAAAATAAAAGCTGAACTCACAGGTTAATTTTTCTTTGAAGTCTGGGTATCCTGCAGCCAGGGAATATTTACTGTCTTATGAAGTTTTAATGTCTACAGAAATGTGAAAACTGTTTTATGACTTAGAATACTGTAGAAAATACTTCTAAAGCTAACATTTCAGAAAAAATTCGACCTCAAAACTATGTCGTACTGATCTGTTCATCTAGCAGCATGATTTCTGGCAGTAGTCCAGAGCTAAATGTAGAAAGCCACAAAACTTCTTACGAGTATATGTTACAGCCTTTGGGAGAATACAGGAGGCTTATGTAAATGCAGAGATTCAGAAGGGCTCATCTATAGCAGCCAAAGCATCTTTCTAAAGAAACCTGTTGAAATATTCACACAGGGCTGTGTCTGCCCTGTGTATAGTGCTTGGTTGCAAAGTACTTCCACTTGGTACATAAGAACTATGTGAAATGTTTTAATGAAGGACACAGGTGCAGATGACTAAAACGTAATTAAAGACTGGAGCTATACATAGTAATATATACATCTGATAGTGCCCTCTGCTGTACTTTGCTTATGCATGTGACTTTCTGATATATGCCCCAAAGAATTTAGTCATGTTTTTGTTATTAAACAGCAGTGACAAAGAGAGGACTCTTTTGCTGGGCTTTTTGGCTATGAGCTGGGCACTACTGTAAGACACTCTTTTTATATGAAGTACTTAATATTTACATGCTGTATGAAGGAAGGAAGGAATAATGTTTCCCAGCTAAAAACTGTCAAATGTGACATAGCTTGCAGACTTCAGAATTGACTTAGTGTACTTTTGTTTGCTTATGGTAGTGGGGAGGCTAGGCCTAAGTTGTATTCTTGAAGTACAACAGAAATAAAAAGTACACTTGGCTTTTATAAATTAAGAATGAAAACGGACTGAATGCCTCACCAACTACAATGGATTTCTTTACTGTTCATTGTCATAATGTATTCTGAGAGAAATTCCAGTGAAAGACTCCTTTTGGTTTTGTTACTTACAAATCTGTCTTTGAAGAATCTGAGATTTTTTGGGTTCCTGCAGTTTTAGGGACACACCTGGAGTCTTCCTTTGCCACTGATTCTTAGGACAGTTTTTTCTTGAATTATTCATGCCACCACTAGTTTACAGGAACAGATGTAGAACCCTTTAATATATACTTTATTTCTCTTTTTTCTGCCATCTCTTCCTCCCTCTTACCCTTTCTAAAAGTACAACTTAAAAGATCCAGTAAAAGTTGAGTGAGCTTTTTGGACTTTATGTAAAACAGTGCTGCCATCACTTACAGTACATCTAAATTGCACTGAGAACGCCTCTGACTCAATTTCTTTTTCTGGTTCCTGAAATCCTGTCGTTCAGTCCATTGTGAGTTGTTTCTAGTAGCATTGCAAGTTCTTATTGAAAGTTGGTTTTAATTCCCATTCTTTAATTTGCATTGTTACATTCTAAAGGGATTTTTTTCCTTCTATGTGCTTTGCTTTTCTATTTGCTCCTGCAGCAGCTGTTGAGATACAGAAGTTGGTAACATATTTCATTCGAAGTGGCGACAAGATCTTGATGTTTGTTGCTGACAGAAGTATTGCTGAGGAGACTTTTCCCCTTTCACAGTAGACACAACATTGGGAAACTAAGTGAATCTATAACTTTTTTCTGTCAAAAAAAGGATCAGAGTCCATGACTGATATGTTCTACTTCATTAAGCAGAATCCTTTGCTGCGTTGAGTTCAAATCTCTGTGGTCTCTCTACAACAATCTGGTGACCTTAATCCCAGTGTTCTTTGTGGACAGCTTTGTCAAGATGATTATTGATGTTTCAGTATCTTTTTTTTTTTTTTTAAGCAGTGTTGAAATATCTTCACAAAAAGTAGATAAAGCATATAATTTTTTGAAGTTTTTGAACTGGTAACTTTCAGAAAAACTAAATAAACTCTTTGGGAAAAAGAGTTCACTGTTTACCTTAGTTTTGCTTACTTCAGAATTTTACATGCTTTTAATTAAACAAAACACATTGTATGTAGTATTGGAAGATACACAGAGACAGCTCTGCCTTTAATTTAAAAATAAAAAATGTCTTGAATCCTACAATTTTGTGCGTAAAGTCCTGTAGGCTTCTAACTGAGAGAGACCCGTTTTTGCCAGGGATTATGAGGCAGGCAGAATCTGGATTTAATTCAAATTGCCGCTGATTTTAGGGGGTTTTATTCAAGCTTGTGATACTGTATGCACGAGCAAGTATTACATTGCAATAAATATCTGTCTTTGCTTTCAGAAGAATCTCCTTATGGAACCAGAGTTAGGACAGTACTCAAAACACGTTTCTTTTAAGGAGTGAATTGGATTATCTGTGCTTTACATATTTAGTGTTCCACTTGATACATTCCTAGCAGAAATGCAGTATATTTGGATTTTATACAGGATTTTGACTGCTAGCTTCATCAGTATTCGTATCTTTCAGAGTTGCATTTAATGTTTTCACTGATGGATAAAGTTCCGAATGGCATAGAACCTATGCTAAAGGATTTGGAAGAACATATTGTTAGTGCTGGACTGGCAGACATGGTAGCAGCTGCTGAAACTATTACTACTGTAAGTGTATTGGTTTTTAATAAAAGAACACTGAAAAAACAACTTTGCAGAATGTAAATATTCTCTATTTGTGGGACAAGCTTGTGAATGGAAATAGTTCTTGAAGATTTTGTCTTTAAACTTCAAATTTTGATCCACTGGAAGTTTTAAATGTCTTCAGGATACCTTTATATTCTTAACATTTTCAGTTGTATCTTTAAAAAGTGAACTGAATTTGCAGTAAAGAAAAGGTTATAAAGTACATGGGATGCTTATATGATAGGATTGTGTTAGCTTCTGAATTAACAAGGCCTAAACAATTTTTCCAAAATTCTAACTTTGTGATGAAATTTGAAATTTGCTTTCAATCTGCAAGTGGTTGTTCAGTGTGGGAATTATAAGGTTTTTTTCCCCACCTTTCTTTTTCAGCTTTGTATCATCAGGGTCTAGGAGGCCTGAGTGTCTGCAGCAATTAGGATGTGTCTTTTATTTCTTCTTGAAAACTTCTTTTTATTTTAAAAGTTATTCCACATTATTTGAAAGTTATATATATATTTGTATATATAACTTTCAAATACTATCCTGAAAGTCTGTGTGTAGACTTACATGCTGTAGAGATCTTCAGTACAGAGAATAAAGATAAAATGCAGTCATAGTATGCAGGCTTTTGAGGATACAACATTTTTACAGGTTAGGGAATTACATGTAAGCTCACACTGAATTCTGTGGAGCCTTGGTCTTTTATTTGATTTTTGCCTCTTTAGGATTCTGAGAAATACGTAGAGCAATTGCTCACGCTATTTAATCGGTTTAGTAAGTTGGTTAAAGAAGCTTTTCAAGATGATCCAAGATTTCTTACTGCAAGAGATAAGGTATGTGTTTCTGCTGACCTTTTGTTTTCAGTATAAGAATTGTTGTAATTCATATTATGATGTCTTCGAAATCCTTGTACCCAGTCACTGTTAAATCTAGATGCTACTCTTACTCTAATAAATATACAGACTAAAACACTGATGAAACTTTCTACCAGCTGATAAGCTTTTAATTTCTGTTGTAGTCCTGCATAAATTGGCATGCGTTCAGCTTTGTAATGTAGAGCACATTAGAAGATGATCTTTGTGATGAGAACCTTAATGTCTGATTCAGCAATAATTCGTGTTTAGAATTTACTGCATATTTGTTTCATGACTTCAGACATGCAACCTGCTCCATGTAATCCCTTCCTAAGTTGTTTTTTAAAGTAAAGTAGTATGCTAATGGAAAAGAGGAAAATGTAAAACATCCGTTAATGGAAAATTGAGTCATAGAATTGGAATTCTCAAATAGAAAATCAAATCTGCAAGCTTTGAGCTAATTAAAAAAATGAAATTAATTTCATGTTACAGTAGTATAAAGAGAGATAAAATCTTTGCAATTCATATCAGAAAGAAATTGAGTGAAGCACGAATAATCTGTAATTATTTTTCAGGCATACAAAGCAGTTGTGAATGATGCTACAATATTTAAACTTGAATTGCCATTGAAGCAAAAGGGGTAAGCCATATAAACTCTATGTGAATCAAGGTTTTTAAAATATCTCTTCAAAAGGTAACACTGTATTTAAAAGGGCTTTGTGTTCTTTGCATTATGGAATTTCAGATTGCTAATTGACCTCTAGTAATACCCTCTTCACATGGATCAGTGAATAGCAGCAGCCTGTTTAAACTCAAATTTGTTTGGAATAATTGGGGATCTATTCTTTTATACTAATGAGTCAGTCTCAGCTGAAGTTAATAATACCTTCCTGGGCTCTTAATTCCAAAAACCTGTATAGCTCTGCTGCAGCTTCAGGAAAGGTCTTGAGTTAAAATGAGGCAGTAATCTTTATGGCTGATTAAGGTATAACCATCCACAAGTTGTTTTCCACCTCCTCTTGTGCCAGCTGTGAGTGTGACCTGTCCGGCTGTTACATTTTTGTTTCAGTGCAGGATTAACCAGGTTAGTTTAAACACCTTCCAGTAGATTAGGCAGACCTGCGTGACTCAAGAAGAAGGACCATGCTTACAGTGACCACTCTGCTAACTCAGCCAAGAGAAGGTAGCAGTCAGTTAATTGATTGTTAACATTTACCATGTGATGTGCCACTTGAATAGGATTTTGTATATATTAGGTTGTTGGGATTGCTTATATGTAGTTAGTACTCTGATATACTGTGGAAACAAAGCTTATGTAACTGGGATGCCAGCTTCCCTTTCCAGTTACTACTTTTCACTGCTGTCAATATCTTGAAGACTCCTATTCAGAAATACCTTGGAACGCATGGATTAAATAAGGGTTCTATCTTGTAATAACCAAAAGACTAGTGGTCTGCTTGTACTTCAGTTGGTCTTTAGGAAGGCAGAAGACACTAGCCTGCAAGCTGGTTCATTAATTAAAAAAAAAAGGACAAGTTGTCTGAAAGTGTTAGTCTGTCTGTACTAATTGATGAGAGGTTGAGAGAATGATCAAGAACACTGGATTCCTGAGCTTGTCTGGGGCCCTTGAGAGTAGCAATCAAGTTGGTGCCATCTGACTCTAGGAATAGGGATTGGTCCTTGGCACTTGGTTTTACTCACCAGTCTGGAGACAGGTTCAGAATATGACCTTGTGCGTGCAGGAATTTTTAAGAACCACAGTCTGTCTGCTGTAGCATCTTCTGGTTTAACTTTAGTCTGCTTTTAATCTCCAAGCTGTTAGTCTACCCTTTATACCTGTCTTGAAATAATTTTATGCTGTTACTTTGTGATAGATGTGTTGAGTTTTGCAGTCTGTGAAGTTTGGTGCAGGGGGCTGTTCTTGAAATATCATTACAGCACACTGACAAGATGAGTGAAACATTTCACTGCAACATTTTTAAATCCTTCACTGGAATACTTTTTGCCATGCAATATTTATTTGTTTCAAACTGTAGTTTCAACTTCATCCTTCATTGTGAGACTTCTAAAATTATAAGCAGTTAAAATGATCAAGCTGTAGAAGCTCTCTGAAGTGTTTGGTAGTTTTTATTCTTTCAAGAAGAAAAGGGTGTTATCCCTCATTTTTCATTAGTTTACCGAGGATATGAATTCACCACCAGGATCCTTGCCAAGGGCATCAGGAAAGAGTGGTCTGTCTTGTTAAGTGTGACTTCTCCAGAATAGCAGGATTCTGTATGGTTTGAAGATGTGTTGTTCTTCTTTTATCTAGTGTTGGATTGAAAACACAGCCTGAATCCAAATGCCCTGAGCTTCTTGCTAATTACTGTGACATGTTGCTAAGAAAAACACCACTAAGCAAAAAACTAACCTCTGAAGAAATTGAAGCAAAGCTTAAGGAAGTGGTATGTTTTTGCCTTCTACTTCTCAATTATTCTGAATAATGAATTTGTTTGTTCCATTTCCTTATGTGGGTCAAGGCTTTGATCTTCAAAAACAGTTATGCAAGGTGTAATAGTAGGGAAAAGAGTTTATTATATTAATGAAGTGTGTGTAAGTGTGTATGTGTGTTTAAATCTTGTAAATCATTCAGTGTCTCATGTCTCCTGTGTCAGTTCACAGAATTGGTATGCTAAATGCCTGTATGAGATTGTAATGTATGACAATAACTAATGTTAGTCTAGAAAATAATACAGGAGATTTTTACATATCAGTGCTGATGTCTTTTTTGATGTAAGAGAATTTCTTGATGTTTAAATGAAGAAATTGGAGGTGCGATATTATGACAGATTCATAGCTGATGCCTGTGATAGTATTAACACCGTTACCCTTAAGGCAATGTCACATAGCCTTTTTCTACTTCACAGTGCTATTAGATCAGTATTCAAAGATTTGTCTGATTGACAGTGCAAATAAATATATTAAACTCTTATTTTTAACAGCTTTTGGTACTTAAATATGTACAGAATAAAGATGTTTTCATGCGATATCACAAAGCTCACTTAACAAGACGTCTGATATTGGATATATCAGCTGATAGTGAAATTGAAGAGAATATGGTGGAATGGCTCAGAGTAAGTAGCATGACACCTTTCTTTGGTTGTGCCTCATGCTTGTGGTTGATTAATATTCCCACTCTTGAACTTAAATACCCTTCTTGCTTACATGAGGTTTATCTTAAATTGCAGGCCACTCAGGGCATCTTATATTTCCTCGCAAAACTTTGTGAAATTAAAACAGTTTAGCTCTTTTCTAAGGGCTAATAGTGGTAGTGATAGATTTTAAAATATTTCACATATGATTATCCGAAAGCTTCATAGATTCTGTATGCAAATGAGCAAAATGCAGTGTACTTGTTTTGGTATGTAAATAGTTTGAGATGCATTCTAATTATGAAATTTTATGTACATCAGACTATTATTTGCATGCCTTAAACATTCCATCAAATCTCAGAATTCATTGATTCCTTAATGCATGCATATGTTCTTCAGCACTTGGATTTCTTTAAAAGAATCATCATATGCCCTTAAGGGGCAACTGCTTATGATCCATGCAAAGAACCACTTTCTATTGCATTGCACATTAACAGTTACTGTAAAGTGATGATACCTGTGTACTTCAATGCTCTCAATGTTTTCAAGCTTAGTATTTTAAAATTAAAGGTTTTTTTGTTCATAGTTGTCTGTGTCATTGTTTAGTGTTTTCTTTGTTTATACAGGAAGTGGGAATGCCAGCAGACTATGTAAACAAGCTGGCCAGAATGTTCCAGGATATCAAAGTGTCTGAAGACTTGAACCAGGCCTTCAAAGAAATGCACAAAAATAATAAACTTGCTTTACCAGGTACTGTTTTCAAATTATTTGCTATTCTTCATTTCTCATAGTGAAAGAATAGGTCTGTTAAATCTTGTTAAAAATTATATCAACTGCAGGTTGAATATAGTCTTTGTGGCATTGTTACCCCTAGATTGGAAGTGTCTGTAGACCCTGCTTTCTCTTGCAGTTGATACAGCTGGAGCTGTATCATTCTGTGAGTTGTTGTGAAGTTTCATTGTGAGCAGTCTTGTAGATACAGACTCCCTCCTCTTTTAGATAAATTGTAAGCAGGGGCTTGAATCAGCATCAACCAGGTGAATGCCTGAACTACCCCCTTCTTTTATGCCCTCATCACTCTTCATGAGTGCACCATGCTGTGCTCCTCCTTTATCTGCCAGCAGGAGAGCTGGACCATGCTATGAAGAGTTGAAATCACATTTCTGAGATTAAGTTTCACTGATAAGAGAGGCTGAGGAAAATCCAGTATTGGACCTGTCACTGCTGAAAACCTTTGAGTGGTTCCTACAAGCATCAGCTATAAAGCTGTATCAGGGCATAAGGAGCTCTGCAGAAGCAAGCCAAAAAAACAGATTTCAATCAGCACTGTTGGCAGAAAGCCAGTGATGCTTAAATAGAGCACCTTGATGTTTAAGTAGGTAGACACCCCGCGACTTTCTGAAAATTCAGTCCTCCATAATTGTACGCAGAGTAGAAAAAAAAAATAAACGTTTTGTCTATCGGTCATACCTGGAGATTCATATAATCCAATATCATCTTACAGCTGACTCTGTGAACATTAAAATTTTAAATGCTGGCGCCTGGTCTCGAAGTTCTGAAAAAGTGTTTGTCTCACTGCCCACGGAATTAGAAGATCTCATCCCAGAAGTCGAAGAATTTTATAAAAAGAATCACAGTGGTAGGAAACTCCATTGGCACCACCTCATGTCCAATGGAATTGTAAGTGTATAGTTTTCAGTGTATCAGTCTCAATGACTGTACTCTCTGTGTATTTATAATAGGAATCAAGTTTGTGATCCAGAAGGGCTTATGAGTAAAATTTTCATCCTCTTCACAGATAACATTTAAGAATGAGGTTGGCCAGTATGACTTGGAGGTAACAACATTTCAGCTAGCTGTGCTGTTTGCATGGAACCAAAGACCCAGAGAGAAGATCAGCTTTGAAAATCTGAAACTGGCGACTGAACTCCCTGATGCAGAACTTAGGAGGACTTTATGGGTATATCCCTTTCTCTTGAAACAGATTGCTTCTTGATTTTTGTACTCTGAAATACTGGATTAGTATTTTGAAAGCACTGTCAGATAACACATTGAAACTGAAACATGAACACCTTTCTTGCTAATTAATCAGTTGTAATGTTGGCTCCTTGCACTACTGCTGAGCACACACAGCCTTTACGTTAACATGTTCTCTCTACCCAGTATTTACCTAACAAGCTTTTGGGAACTGCAAGATTTTTTTGACCATATGCTGCCTAAATCACAGAGTTATGATTGTGGTTTGTGGAGTGGGACTGGTCTAATTCTAGGAAATTAGTGGCACCTGATAAATATATGTTGCTTAAAAATAACTTCAGTGTTTGCTTTATCAGATTTCTAACTATTTAGCTCACAAATAAAGAGAGAAATAACATAATTCAGACTTAACACCGCTTCTGTAGCCGTGAGTTTGTATATTTTACTACTTCGTGTGATATTTTGCTTATGCTAACACATTTCAGAAGGAGATTTGGTAAACTGTGTCCCCTCTTTGGTTTTATTGGTATCTTCATGTTGACCTCTAGCAGCTCCAAGAAGTGCTGTGTGGTTCCCTCACTAGAGTCTGCACACCAGTGAATTATGTTCTTAGAAAGTAATTGTTTCCATTTAGAAAGTCTGGTGTTTTATTTTCATTCTTTCCCCCCCTCCCCTTTTCTCTGTAGTCTCTTGTAGCATTTCCAAAGCTGAAACGTCAGGTTTTATTATATGAACCTCAAGTCAATTCACCCAAAGACTTTACAGAAGGAACCCTCTTCTCGGTGAACCAGGAGTTCAGTTTAATGTAAGATGATGTTTGAAAAGTAAAATAACAATGTACTATTTTCTAACTAAAGTAATTCACTTTAACTTAACCTTTGTTCTTGAAATTTTTCAAAATTAAGCTAGACACATGCTTTGCTGCCCTATCCTCACTTAGTTTTGGCTATAGTCATGCTTCAGGTAGGTGGCTGGACTAGATGACCTGCAGCAATCCCTTCAGACAAAATGTAATTTCTGTGAAATTCAATTTCTTAAGCACCTAGGGATGAGGTGCAAAATTGGAGGCTTTGCTATGTTCCTGTTACCAATGAGCCTATGAAATTTCATGGAAGGACAGCCTGTAAGCAGAGCACTAGTGCTGTATTGATTATTACACACGCACAGAATTTCAAAAGCAGAGTGATAAGTTAAAAAAGGAAGTGAAACTGCTTAATAATATGGTGTGCTGCCAAAAGCTAGGATATTTGGTGTGGCTCTCACCAGAGTATCTTTATTTCTGTGAGAATCATGGTGCTCTTTTCCTGTTGCTTTGAAATCCTTCAGAGAGCAAGATAATATTAAGAGAGAATATCTAAATGGTATATACTATGTTCAGCATGTTTTGGATTTCTGCCTGCCTCTATTATCATGACTATGATGAGAAGTGGCTCCTTGCTAGTAACCTCAGATTTTGTGCCTCCTAGTCAATAGCAACTGGACATCTGGATCTGTGGAGAAAGAGACAGGTGACAAATCTGCTTCCCCAGGACTTAGTTTCTTAGCCAGGGCCAATATTTATTCCTGTCCTCAGGATTCTGAGCTTTGGGAAATGATGAGAGGACATGACAGAAGAGACAGGCTGTACAGAAAATTTGTGGGTAATCACTGAAGAATGCCATCAGCTTTCTTTGTTACAATAGCTGGATTTTGTCCTTCTTTTCAGCTAGACAGACAATTTTAATGGAATATTAGCTAGTCCAATTTCCTGAATTTTGTTGTAAAAACTTCCTCCAAACAACCCTACTTTTATATAATTAAATTGAAATATACTTCTCTGAAATTTTATTCTTTAAAGTGATACTGGTAGCTTTTCAACTTCGGACATTAGCAGTTTCAACTGATGGATTTATTTGTAATGCTTACTAGCACTGTTTAGGTTTTATTGTGCAGAGATGTTGGCATTGAGTTTTGGTTTGTCAGCTAGCTGTCTCACTGCTGCAATGCTAATAGCCCATAAATGTCTGATATGTGATGTTATTCCTTGCAGCTGTAATTTAAGTTTAACGGGAATTCCGTAATTGAAAGTGTTTTTTTGTTTTGCTTACTTTCATGCAATGCAACTTTTTCAGAAAAAACGCTAAAGTTCAGAAAAGGGGCAAGATAAATTTGATTGGTCGATTGCAACTTACTACAGAGAGAATGCGGGAAGAGGAAAATGAAGGAATAGTCCAGCTAAGAATATTACGAACCCAGGCAAGTAAACCGTCAGAAGAATATAAAATTACCCTATTTCTTTTGTTGTATTATCATTACATGCTGTCCACAGTTGGATGTTGATATATGAAATGAGTGCTTTTGAATCCCATTGGAAATTACTTTTGCTGTTTGATTTAGATCCTTTGTAAATACCTGATTTTGCACTTGTAGTTATCAGCCTCCTGTTCTGAAATACCACGTCATCATCATCTTTAAAGAGGGCAAAGCAGATATTAAGCAAGTGGTGAAGGCATAACAGTGTTGTGGTGGATGACAGCAGCAGATTGGTAAAGTTGACTTACACTAGCCACCACCATGAACACACAGTATTCTTGATCTTGAGATCTCTTTGGTCTGTATGAAGGAGGAAAATCTTGGAGATGGGATCACACTGCAGTAACAGAACATGACTCTTCAAGAGGCCTTCTCCTTAGAGGGAAAGTTTAAAAGTGCATCTTAGCTGTACAAACTGCAGCTTCCTGCTTTGTGGTTGATTGTCCTTCAGTCAGCTACTCATGTCAAATCTTTTGAGCTGATGGTTCTAAAAAAACCTGATTTTTTTCTGGCATCAGAGATCATTACCTACTATGGAGTTTCAAAATCCCATTTTACCTTCAAGTTTCAGGTCTGCTCTATCAGTCAGAGTAGATTCCAGGCCATGCACATTGTGAATTGTATCACCTGACGTAACATATGATGTGACCATACTTGAAGCAAAAAGATTAATGCCCAGTTGTGTTTATGAAATAAGAACTCCTTGGGAGTTCCAATTTTATATTCAGCTTGCATTTCATGAGGTGTTCACAAGGTATATCATAAATCACCTAGGAAATGGTGACTCCTCCTCAGAGAATGAATGAACGTTTGGTTTTAGTGAGTAATTCACGCTCTAGGTATAGGATTTAACTGCTCCTTTGACTGGAATTGTCTTGTATCTCTTGCATCTTGCCAGTGCTTCATTCTTTTCCTTTATGAACTTCTTTGTAAAAGCAATTCGATACCTACATAGGCTAAGAAATGCAGCATCTATCTGATTTTTAAGGAAAAATACAGATTTCCTTGCTGTCTTGCCATACCAGGAGCTCCCTAATAATAATAATTCATTTTGTCACTTCACTCAGGCATTTAAAAGTGGTTTTTCTTTTCCTTCTTGTACCCCACCAGGAGGCTATCATCCAAATAATGAAAATGCGGAAGAAAATTACTCATGCCCAGCTTCAGACTGAACTGGTAGAAATACTGAAAAATATGTTCTTGCCACAAAAGAAAATGATAAAAGAGCAAATTGAATGGCTTATAGAGCACAAATATATCAGAAGAGATGAGTCAGATATCAACACCTTCATATATATGGCATAATTTGAGGACTCTGCAGGATGCTGAGAACATAAATGGAAGGGTGCTTGGACAGACAGCTGCAACAGTTTGTGCTGCAGAAGGACTTGTTTTGACTTTTGTTACGTATTAAAATCCCTGCCTTACCTTAACTGAGGACTATATTTTGCCAATCTCATTCAGCTAGCATGATGGCATTCCCTTCATGTTGCACACTTCTAACAGCATGCTGTTTTGTGGGAAATTTGCATTCATGAAGAGCCCATTGTGAACTTTTTAAAGTAGATTTGATTTACACCCACCAGGAAGAATACAGGTTTGGGTTTTTAGATGACCAGTACTTGCACAAGGAAAAAATATTCAAATATTCATGCACTGAGGAACTGCTATTAGTTTTGTTTTGGGTTTGTTTTTTTGTTTTGTTTGGTTTTGGTTTTCTGGGGTTTTTTTAAATGCAATTAGGACTAGAAGTAGCACTTTCACTTTTGTGTTTTGGATCAACAAAGTAATGTACTGTCCACCTTTGATCCTTTTTATGTAATAACATTTGAGACACACAAACACATGCATCACAACTGATACGTATTTGTTACAGTTAAAACCTATTGGCTAGAGCAGTGCTTCAATCTAGTAACTGGATTTTAATAATTGACACATTAAGTGACACAAAAGTAATTCCAAGTCATGGGTGATATTTTTCGCTAAGCAAGAGATCATTGTTTTTAAGTTGTTTCCTGTAAACGAGTGGATATGTGTTATTTGTTACCTTATTTGGACAGATGATTTGCTACAATCCTTTTTGAGAAGGTAGAGGTTCCTTGAATGATACTTCACTCTAAAAGCAGTTTTCATGGGAGGGTCTGCTATACTGAACAGAAATACTAAGTGTATTTCCTTGTACATTTAATATTTGTACTCCAAATATTTAGGTATGACTACATATATCTGGATGCATTAAAGAGTAATTGATGCACAACTCCCCCAGAAAGAGAATAACACTTGAAGATCCCTGTACTGTTTCCTCAGTGGTAACTTTTATATACATGCAAGGTTAATCCAATTGGACTAGTCAACATCTTTATACAAAAAAAACGCTCTGCTTTTTATTTTGTAACTGATAGAGTAGGAAATATAATTCTGATGAAAATGGTGAAAAGCTAAGGAAAAATACCTTCTTTAGTGTATGCGGAGAGAGTGCCAAATACACATCAGGAATTTCAACTTCCTAATGTTACCTCTTCTATTTTGAATCGTCTGAAGTAGTCGTTTGGCACTGCCTGCCTCTCTGCTATTCTGAAATGTCCCAGCATGTACTGGACTGATACCATGAATCACAGGAGCAGAGTGCCTGTCTTAAGACAAAAGGTAAGTTGCGCTTTACTCAGTTCTGTATGAATATTTCTTGTATAAATCGCCAATGTGCGATTTTTTTTTTTTTTAATTAACCAGTTAATTGATCTACAACATCTAAAGGCCTCATCTTCTTTGATGATGAAAGGGGGAAGAGGATACAATTAACTTTAGTCAAAAAAGAAAGCCTTCCAGTAAGTAAGAGGAGTTCTACTTCCACATGGTTGCAGTAAAGTATGCAGTAAGAGTGGTTTAAAAGCAAACTCTCCAAGAATGGCTGTTTGCACCCTTAAACAGGCTACGTGCTCTATTACTAATGTAAATGCCAGTGTGACTGACTGAGAACAGTATGTACTTGGACATCTGTTTGAGTAAGAAATTTTCGGTAGTGAGGGTTTCATGACCAAGAGACGGAGAGAAATCAAGGCCTGGCCAATTACAATTGGTTGAAATCCTACAGCTTGTGTTACATGCTTTTATTGATACTCAAAAGTAGATGCTCTTTAAAAATATTGCATCTTTCATGTTGGCCCTGTGGTGTTGCAATTCAGAATCAAAAGCAAGTGGTGCTCTGAGTAGTTAACCAATGAAATTATTTGAACGTTAGAAAACAAAATTCTAATAAAAAACTTTGTGCTGCAAGACTTTCAGTCTTTGTAACTTAAAAGTAATAAATGCTTACTTGGGATAATTGGGGAAAACATGACAGTCTGAGCACACTTCTCAACGAGAAAAATTTCCACCCTTAACCAGAGAAGAACAGGTGTGGAATTGTCACACAGAAAGAGCTGCAAAGGGGATAATGCTGATTTTGAAGCCATCGGTTTAGATTTGAGAGAGAAGTTTAAGAGACTGCATTTCAGGTGCAACTGTTTAGGAAGCTGGAGTGTATGCAGAAAGCAACAGGTTGCTGAAAGCTAAGGAGCTACACGTTCCCTCAACTAATATATACAATACAACCTAATTGTTACCTAAATAATTCTCAAAACCTGGGATGCAGAAATAGAATTGGTAATGTGCCTATGACATGGTCATTTTTCTTTAAATATGTTCCAGAAATGGATGTCGGGTTTTTTATTAAATCTGAGACTCACACCAGCAAATCTGTTAAAGATGCAGAATCACGTTTAGCGTCCTTCATCAGGTCACTTTCACCAATTTGCACTTAAAACTAGTATCACTTGGGGCACAGGGAGAAACCTGGGGTAAACTGTTCTTTTGGGGAGGGTAGAATTCAAAACTATTCTTCACTTGCAATATTGCAACAATGCACTTTTAAGGCTGCAATTTTTAGCTATGAATATATATGTCCAAAGACCTAGCTTAAGGAGGTGCTGCATCTGAAAAACATGTTGCCACACACACTGCCACGGTGAATAGCTAAGGAATGAGATCTGGTATAGAAGAGGGGGGAGGGGGAAAAAATCACTCTTAATGGGTTTAATTACGAAATACTGTTAAATCTTTCTCTGTCCCAACAACTTGATGAGAATCTCAGTTTCAATTCTGAAGTCTTCCATTTTTCCTCTTTCCACAGTTGGTGTCCCTAGCTTCTATTTTTACTCGTTTCTTTCATTTGTTATGACTGTAATGCAATTACATTTCCAAATGACAATGTGACTTTCTCATTTTCACCTTTTTAAACTTAATATAAATGTTTTGAATGTTAACATCTTGCATTTATTTGCATTGGGATGCCATTGTCCTGTAAAGTGCAAATTTTAAAAATACAATTGGCAAAAAGATTTGATAGTTTTACAGAAAGATTTGCTATCTTAAACTCAAACTGTTTTCTATTTTCATCTAAATGACTGGGATGCTATCTTTGTAATTCTTTGAGGTCATATTTGTGAAATAAACAATACATGAAAGCTTTCCTGTCATATACACTATATGTAGTCTGGAGTGTTGAGCGAACTTGAGTTCCTGAGTTGTAATAACTATCTACGTATGGTATTTACAATTTTGAATGTGTGCCACTACCAAGATAATAATGCTGTACAATTTTGAATGGTGGTAGTTTCTGTATGGCAGTCCAGCTGAACTATTTTGATGTACTGCTTAATTTTTGAATTTTATTTTTTAAGTTGTATAATTTATTTTCTTGCAAAATAAAAATGTAATATAAAAGACTACTCATTTAGCAAGGTATTTTGGTGTCTCACCCTGCAAAATTTTAAAGCTGAATTCAGGTGCTTCTCCTGAAAGATGCCACTGTATGAAATTTGCCTGATTCCAAGTCCCAAAGTCTGTTACAGTCAGAGTATTTAAGGTTATACGTAGAACTATTTAGTCTTCCAAGTTCTATTTAAAGATGAACCTCAGTCTTTCCATTTCAGTTTATCAAAGCCTGCCATGCCAGAAGTGGCTGAGGGTGCCTCAGCTTCTGTTTATGGCATTTTTAAAAAGGGTTATGTCTCTGCAACTTCCTGGGATGTACTTGGATTGCTGAATATTTTGGTTGATTTGTCTCTGAAATTATTTACACTGTGTGTCACTGAAAATTACTGGTGGTGTCCCAACCAGACAGTTGGGACCTTCGGGTACCTTATCCTGCAGTAAAGAGTGCCGTGGGAACAGTCGCTTGCCTGAAGGAAATGCTTTTACCGTAATGGCTTTTCTCTGATTGTCCTTGTCTTTTAATGTGAATCTCTTTTTACATTCTTTAAGTGCACCAGCTAACATCAGTGTTTTGTGCTTTCTGGAACATGCCACAGTTAGAACTATTTGTATGGAATAAGTAGCTCTTTTTGAGTGACTGTTCAGTAGTGTGCATGGCAGTTTGCCAGCTCGCAGTTCTTGCAGGCAGAACTTTGATAGCAGGTTGCCATTATTTCCAAATGTTTTTCCCTCTGTTAGGGCAACGTGCAGTCTTTTCCCAGGAGGAGTTGTTCTCTAGAAACCAGTTATCACAGGAGTTCCTTAGCTGAATCAATTCCTAGCACTTGGTCACAGGTTAGGTAGAATCACTGACCTAAATACAAAAGGCTCTAAAACCTGGTTCATTTTTCTGATAAAGTTAAAATGTGGCTTTTTTTCTTGCTTTGCTTTACCTGTCAACATAGAATCGTAGAATCATTTAGGTTTGAAAAGACCATTAAGATCCTTAAGTGCAAACGTTACCCCAGCACTGCCAAGTCCACCACTAAACCGTGTCCCTGCGTGCCACATCTACATGTCTTTCAAATATGTCCAGGCATGGTGACTCAATCACTTCCCTGGGCACCCTGTTCCAGTGCTTGACAACGCTTTCTACAAAGCATTTTTTCCTAATATCGAATCTAAACCTTCCCTGGCACAACTTGAGGCTGTTTATTAGTTACTTGGATGAAGGGATTGACTCCCACCAGGCTACATCCTCCTTTCAGGTAGTTGGAGAGAGCAATAAGGTCCCCCATGACCTTTTCTCCAGGCTAAAAAAACCCAGTTCCCTCAGCCGCTCCTCATAAGATGTTGAAAGAATTAAAGAAGAGAATGCAGTATGATTTTCTTTCTGGTTTTAAGACCATGGTCTAATATTATGTACATACAGCTCAGGATTTGCCAGCTATTGCAGTCATTGATTTCTACTACCGAAGATATTAAGGAAATTAGCACATCATCTGCATTTCTTGGAGCAGGCAGTTGGCCTTCTGGCCTATCCTGTGCTGCACCTATTTCCCTGGCCACAGAAAATACTTGCCAGCCAAGTAATGAAATAACAAAGGAACCTGTAAGAGCTTCCTCCACCTGCACGTTGTCTTTATCTCAAAACTAAGCAACATGCTCTTGTGTGAACATGCTTTCGTTTGACAGTAGGAATAGTGATTGGAATTGTTTTCTACTCAGAAGAGCCTCAAAAACAATAACATTGGGGAACAATAACATCCATCTTCATGGATGGGATCTGCACCATAGGTTCTGTCCCGACTGGACGTGTGTCTGATACTGCGAAGCTCCAAGTTGCCTGTATCTGAAGGGAAGTAAGATTATCTTTACTGTCCTCTTTTTCCTTCTCTGTTAGGTGCAATAAAGGGCCTATTAATCGATATGTCCAAGTGCCTTTCTGGCTGAGATGAGACAGATGTATGGTGTCAAATCCTGGTACATTTGTAGAGTTTTATACTGCAGGAGTAAGAGCAAAGTTAAATAAGAGCTTTCTCTTTTTTTGTTCTACATCTTTTTGGCATTACTCGTTTCTGAAAAATATCCTCATCCAACCAAGCTGGATGTTTTTCCTCTGTGGTTACATATATGTTTTCGAGGTAAAACCTTCAGCTCTTCCTGAGTCAATATTTGTCAGTCCCTATGTTATCTCTGGTTTGTACTTGAAAACTTTGGCTCTAAATCAAAGTTCTGGACTAGGTTGGTCAAACTCTTAGAACATCAGCTACTGACAGTCAAGGAAGAAAAAGAGTACAAATTCTTCCTTCATCTATGCCAGTCCCAATTAACCTCTTGCTGCATGTCTGGAGAATCTTCAGATGTATATGGAAAGCAAGAAGTATTTTACTTTTGAGAACAGACAAAGTGAAATCCTCTCTCACAGGGTAATGAATGAGATGTAGAACAGAAAATGAACTGAAGCAGTTTTGACAAAGATTAGTTTTACAATGTGAAGAGAAAATAGTAACAATAGATTAGTCATGATAGCAAATGGATGTCAAGATGTTATTGAAATACCCTTGCTTTCTAGATGCTATGTCCAAATATGGTTCTTGGCATTTGTTCCAGTTTGTGGTACAAAGGGAAGGAATAGTGCAAGTAAATGCTGCTTTACCTGACTTGTAGACATCAACTCCAAGGAATGCATCATTCAGTTGTCAGTTACTGTAACAGCATGCGAACTCCTTCAGGAATTAAAAAAGTGGTTGAGAAGAAGGTAAGCAAGACTGACCAGAAACAAATAGAGAACTGCTTATTCTAGGCAGAGTGCAACAGCACAATTCAGAGAACATCACCTTGTCTTTTGCACCTGTTTTTTGAGATACCAAGCTCAAGACCAGGAAAGAACCAGGCTTTTCCCTGGCCTAGCTCTGTGCATGCTGGAGAAACAGGGTGGAGAGGGGCACTGTCAGGCAGGTAGACAGCTGTAGAGTTTTAATGCTGACCTTCGTCTAGAAATCTAGATTCAGAGAGAACCTGAGGGGGCAAAGCAAAGTGCAGGAAAGACTGTGGAACTGGGATGGTCGTCCTGAGACCGAGCTGGGGCTGAGCAGGCATCAGTCTTTCTGTAAAGGCACCTGCTGAGGCCGTTCTCAGCTATGTTTGAATTCTGAGGTAACACTGTGCGCTGTTTATACCATGGCTAGACAGGGAGGAGCGTAAGGGGAATGAAATTGCTGGCTTTTCTGAGAACAGCGTGCAGCTACAGCACACGGGTAGGCCAGACAGTGTCCCGAACTCAGAAATACGCCGGCACCCGCACAGCCCCTGTGGCTGCGCAGGTTGTTTTCTACATGGGGATTAAACGCCCGTGGTTTCACGTCAGTTTAACCCGCAGGTGGGTCGGGCGAGGGGCCGGGCCGGCGATCGGCGGAGTGCCGCCTCGGAGGTGGAGAGGAGACACCCCGGGGGCTGGTTCTTGTCCCGCAGGGATCTTCCACGCTGTGTTCACACCGTTCGCTACCAGTGACTTCCCTCCTCAGCGCGGAATCCTGGGCTGTCCGCCTGCGGCTGTGCCCCTGCAGCCCCTTTCCTCCCCTCGCGCCGCCTGGTCCCCGAGCGGCAGCACCGGCGGCGAGGGGAACGCGCCTGGCGCTACGGAATCACAGAATCAGTTGTCTTGGAAAAGACCTCTGAGATCATCGAGTCCAACCTATGACAGAACAACACCATGGCACGGAGTGCCACGTGCAGTCTTTCCTTAAACACGTCTAGAGACGGGGACTCCATCACCTCCCTGGGCAGCCCATTCCAATGTCTAATCGCCCTTTCTGTGAAGAAATTCCTCCTAATGTCCAACTCAAACGGGTTCCCGAGGGGGCTGAGGGGCCTCGCATGCGGGAGCCCCGGGCGGTCACACCCCCCTCCCCCCGCCCCGGCCCCGGCCCCGCCCCTCTGACACCGCCCCCCGCCTTCCCGCCTAGCCAATGGCAGGACATTGTGTGGCACCGCCCCCGCCGCGGGACCAATAGGAGCTGGGCGTGGGCGGGGCGCTGCCGTCTATAGGCGGTGGCGGTGGCGCTGGCGAAGGTGACGGGGGCGCCGGCGGGAACATGGCGGCGGTGGTGCTGGGCGGGCGGCGTTCGGTCGCGGGGCTGCTGCGGGTGAGGCGGGCGGCGGGCCCGGCCCTTCCTCTCTCCCTCCCGCCCTCCCTCCC